GATTCAGACTGCAGCATCCCAGTCAATGTATTAAGGCTGGAGCTTCGGCCATGTCCCGAGCCACTGGCCAAAGACTGCGGTGGTGGGGATAGCGACGCCCCTTGCACGTCCTCCACGGGGCCAGGGCCGAGTTCGTCGCTCAAGAAGGAGATGGGTAACAGGTGTATCTTTTGCTGGTGCTCGACATCGAGGAGCGAGTACGAGTTGGCGTCTGCAGCGCAGGCGACAAATCCCCTGCGCGACGCAGCCAAGCAACCGGGGAACTCAATATTCCTGATCAATCGCGCTCCGTCCCCGATCTGCACCAGCATAGTTTTATTCTGGACGGCAATCATAATCAATTGTGTCTCTTCATCCTCCGGCACCGCGTTCTGATCCAGCCCCCCAATCCAGCAGCAATTGTTGATCTTGAGATTGCCGAATGCCGGGCTCAGCTCGGGGAGCAGGTAAAAGGTGGCTGTGCCATTGCACCGAACACACGCTTTCCCGACGGCGGGGAGAAGGACGATCTGTTGAATGCCCCGTTGTTCCGGCGGAATCGAAGCGTTGGGGGAATGTGGGATGGGCAACCTCGAGGCTAGGATGAAGGACGGCTCGCTCGACTGGTCGGAGGGGTCGGGGGGGAGGCAGACGAAATGCAGGATCTCGGCGGAGGAAGTGCCGATATACAGATTGTCATCTGTCGTTGCACTGTCAGATCAATCACGACCCCCTGGCGGGGAGAACAACTCACTCCAATATTCAACGCAAGTGATCCGGACATCGTCATCGGAACCGTCCGCTGACAGCGGTACATGCTCCAAGAGAGATCGGAACAGATAAGGCGCGGTAGGAGGACTGACCCTGCGCCTCTTACGGGGGGCAGAGCCATCATCCGACGCCATGACGAGACCAGCTCTGGCGTCTGAATTGGAGATGGAGGGGAATATCTCAAGGGAAGATTGATTGGGGTTGGTCCTTGTCCAAGTTGCGCTCAGCGGGAGTTGATGTCACGTTGCGGCCTTGGGTGCCTGAGGCCAGGAACGGGGCCATGCTGACTCATGACTACCAGCCCTAACTTGTCAGATGGATTGTCGCTGCATGAGAGATAATGGCCACGATTATTGATCAAAGGTTTCCCAATGCGTATTATATACTAAAAGTAGCTACTGACCGCCATGTCAATTCGGTACGGCGCAAGTTACTCGAAAGTAATCCTGACGCTGACACATGGTTCACTTGAAAAGATACCATGGTGCCACCAGAAAGAATGTCTAGGCTTGGGTGTTTTGAAAGATTGGGGCAATGTCAGCTTTGTTTGCGCCAAGATGACCCTTTCAAGACTATTTTGTTAGCGGAATGATCTACCAGAATCATAAAGTCGACCTTTAAAATCAGAGCAGACCGCAAAGGATGTGATGATAGATGCGGCGTGGAAGGGCAGATTGACCGGGACGCATTATAAGGGATGGGCTTGATCAGAGCAAAGTTGGCGTTAGAATTTCAACAAATGGGGTTATGGCGCAGCTGGGAGCGCGTTAGACTGAAGAATCAACTTCAGCCTCCTACTTCTACGAAGTAGTGTAATCTAAAGGTCACCGGTTCGATCCCGGTTGACCCCATATCTTTTTCTTTTTTCGTAACTTATATTTTTATCCCCGTCCCCTTCTTTAAAGAAGTACGGAGTATAACATGATTGCTATCTAGTAGTGTCTCTCGATCTCCTATCCGTTTTGCTTTTCTATTGTACTGGATCAGGGTAAATACACCATGGTTCATGGCTTAAACCTTATAATACAGGCAGCCACTCCGCGATAACAGCATACAAGCCAACTATCAGACAATTTTGATAGCGCATGGCCAACTCTTTCACTGAGCTGTTAGGTTCGAATCTTGTCGTGTTCCTTATTGGGATAATTATAGCTTTCGCCGCGCAAGATTGATGTTATTGGAGTCAAAATTCTCCGTATATTCTACCTGGCAATGCAAAATATGCGTAGATCTGGCAAATTGATTATATCAAGTGTTCAAGGGAATCATAAATATGAAGTCCAATCTCCTGCCGGAGAGAGCAAGAAACCCTGTATGGCTTACGCGTTCGGAACAACACTCGGCCCGCTCGGCGCTGTCATCTACGTCTCCGCATTGCGATTCATTCAACTTGTCTTTATTATCTTGGGCTATCGGCGTCATTTATATCGTCAATTTCATTTCTGGCGGGGGCGCAGCTCTTCTGATCTTTTCTTATCGCCAGGAGATACTGACTCGGCCAAGATGGATTCGTTCGCTCTCACGGAAGGCCTGGTCCCTGAGCACAACAATCAAGATGGCCACGAGTCCGAAAACACCGCCGGAAAGCTACCGGAAGGAGCGAACAAATTCCAACGCGCCATTGCGGCATGGAGAGGTATATGATGCTGAGATTTGCATGTCGCATCTCACGCTTGTTATGGAAACTAATTTATAATTCATTCCAGGCATCGATCTAACCAACACTGTCGCAAAGTTGGATGGTACCGCTTCGGACATTGTCGCTGAGCAGCGGGATGCGCTCGTTCAGAGGAAGGATCTCGCACAGAAGACCAAGGATTTCAGGAAGCTTGATGACCCGTCCAAGCTTGCAGAGTACAAGGGTCTTTTGAAAGGTCCGTCGGGCTCGTTGGGTTTATGGGTTCCCGGCTAATGCTTGATTGACAGCGTACCAAAGCTTCATCGACGTCTTGACCAACCAAGGAAAGGCCTCGTCATCCGCCTTTCTGCAACTTTATTCGTCTCTCTCGGAAGCGCCCGACCCTTATCCGCTCCTCGAAACCTCGGTCGATTCTCTCGTCCACTCCGAAGAAACCGTTCCCAAGCTAACCTCGGAACGGAACCATCTACAAGGGTCGGTAGATCGATTGACTTCTCAACTGGAGGACACGGAAAAGCGACTTGAGGAAGAACGGACCGCGCGAAAGAAGTTGGAAGACACCCAAGAATCTCGAATCAAGGAGATCGAGTCTTCCTGGTCTGCGGTGTTGTCGGAGAAGGAGAACAACTGGACCGCCAAGGAGAAGACATTGGAGGAGAAGGTGGAGAACCAGGAGCGCTTGCTGAAGGAGGTCAAGGCCAGCTATGAAGTCTCCCAGCGACTGGGGCAAGATAACGAAGGCGGCGATAGCGCCCAAAATGGAGCAACCGCTGCCGAGCTGGAGTTCGTGTCGGCCGACCTAGAGAAGACCAACCTTCGACTTGCCGAGGTCGAGGCGAGAAACGAACAACTGCGGCTTGAGCTGGCTCAAGCTGCGTCGCATTCTCACCCGGACCAGCCCTCATCCGTTGAAGACGATCCATCATACCTCCGCCTCCAGTCGGAAAATTCCTCTTTGCTGCGCAAGCTGGATGCGGCCCGATTTGACAAGGATTCTGACCGTCACTCGTGGGAGGCCAAGGTTTCTCAAGCAGAACGACAAAGCGCCAAGGTATTGGCCGAAAGGGACGAGTTGAAGTCCAGGCTAGAGAAGCTTTCCGACTACGAAGAAATTCGCCGGGAGCTAGAAATGATCAAGGTGAGCTCCACCCGACGTACAGCCCAACAATCCGTCTAACCGGTATTAGTCTATAGAATTTTCTCCCGGTGACGACGATGATGGTGAAATAAACACTGCGGCTGCCAACGGGGCGGCCGCTGCAACCAAGGATGGGTCCAAGAACAGCTTGGAGCAGCTTCTGTTGGCCAGGAACAAGAAGCTCACCGACGAGCTCACCGTCCTTCGGGTCTCCCATCGCGATCTCCAGAGTCAGCTCGAGGTTCTGAAGGAGGACCTCTCACTTACAAAGGAGGAACTCGAGAAGTCTCAAAAGCTCTCCACGACCCTGGAGAACGATCTTCTCCGCGTGCAGCAAGAAGCCGCCAACACCTTCCCATCGACGGCAATGTCTGTCGCCGGAACCTACACCACCCGACACCCACATTCGGCTCGCAGAGGGGGCATTTCCCCGACGTCGTCGATCATTTCAGGCTTCGACCAGTCAGCTGCATCCCCCTCGATGGACTCGATCCGCGCAGGGGAGGCCGTAGGCGGCGGCTCCGGCCTTCTCCCCATGATCCAAGCCCAGCGAGATCGGTTCAAGAAAAAGAACTCCGAACTCGAAGAGGAACTGTCCAAGACGTACAACGCCGTCAAGTCTCTCAGACAGGAGGTCGCCACCCTCCAAAAGGACAATCTCAGTCTCTACGAGAAAACGCGGTATGTCTCCGCATACAGCCGCGGCCAGGGGTCGACCTCGACAGCATCTACATTTGCAAACCAGCCAGCAACCTCCTCCGTCCACTACTCAGCCGACACCCCGTCAGGGCTCTCCCTTGACCGGTACGAATCCGCCTACGAGGCCAAATTATCCCCCTTCGCGGCTTTCCGAGGACGCGAGTCAGTCCGCGCATACAAGCGCATGAGTCTGCCAGAGCGGATCGTCTTCTCATTAACCCGGATCATCATGGCCAACCGCACGAGCCGGAACCTCTTCGCGGGTTACTGCTTCGCGCTGCATATCCTCGTCTTCGCCATGTTGTACATGATGAGCTCGATGGAGATCGAAAAGCATAGCAGCGCGAGCCTGGGCGCCGCGGCGGGGACGATAGCGCAGAATCTGAAGAATGGGGGGTCCAGCGGGGGAGGCCACCCGTTACACGGTGATGATTGGCAGGAGGCAGGCTTTGACCATTCTTCCTAGTTGTTGTCGGACTGGTTCGTCATGTAGTAATATTTCCCAGGATTACCCCGACTGTTGGCGTTTAATGGTTAGCGATTACAACTGAATATACATATTCCTTTTTCTCGAGTATTCGTTAGGCCGAGGTTATATAGAAGCAGTCCGGCCCTTAAGGACTTAAACCAACTGGGGTACGCTCGGATGAACAGACAAAGGACAAACAAAATAGTTAGACGACAGGCAACCCAGAAAAGGGATACAGACAACAGAAGTGATACGAGCAATTCCAAGTATATAGAGGAGGGAAAAAAAAAAAGAAAAAAAGAAACGGCCCGAGCCGCGGATCGAACGCGGGACCTCTCGCAGATATGCTTGGGTTTAAATCCCTAAGCGAGAATCATACCACTAGACCACCCGGGCGCTTGTTGTTGAAGATGATTGGTTTGGAATGATACTTGTTGCTAATTGTAGTTAAGGCTCAGCTACCCTGGTTATTTCGGGATCGTATAGACAATTGTGTGGAATATGGAATTTGGTTGTGCTAGAGCTGGGGGGTTTTACGGCGTGTATATATCTTTTGCTTGTCTTATATATTATGCTAATATGCTTTGGTTTTATTCTGATTTTTTTTTGGTGGAGGATGTTACGGTTTATTTGGTTTCGTGCGGGTGATATATTTAAATTTACACGCGAGGCTAGGGATCCAATGCGCGGAGTATATACAAGATCCCATGGTTTCCCCGCAAAAGAGGAAATTCTGATATCACAAGCCCTGACTACGTACTCCGTAATAGAAGCGGAATTGGCAATCCATACTAAAATGGTCGAGTCAATTATCACATCGGTAATCTTCCACTGTGGCCAGTGCAAACTCCGAAATGAAGGATGATCTAGTCCTAAGCGATAGCAGTGGGGTATCAACTCCAAGCGGGGATAGACCGCTATCTATCGTCGGCTCGCATTGTTTTACTGGCCCTCGCCTGTACCTACAGAGCCACGGCAATTCTCCACTGCTTTAACAATACTATCTAACATTTGACTGGAGTATATCAACACCGACAGACAATGCCTGAGACCAAAACCTGGCTGATCGTCGGCGCGTCTCGTGGGATCGGTCTCGAGTTTATTCGCCAGAATCTCGCACACGATCATCGCGTTATCGCCACCGTACGCAAACCTGGCTCTGCTTTGGAGCCTGTCGTTCGCGATGCAGCTGGGCGCGCATCGGTTTTGGAATGCGATGTGTCTAGTGAGGAGAGCATCACTGTAGGTTCCCTTCCTGGAGGCAGGGAAGAGGGGATGAGAAGGAAAAGCAGGAAAACGAGGCTAACCCTACGCAGAGCTTCATCAAGCAGCTAGTCAAAACCGGAGTCAAGAAGATCGACTACGTCGTGATCAACGCCGGGATCTTGGAATATCCAAACGTGAGGAAGTTCTATTCCACCCACACCGTGCCATCTCCACCCTCTAACCTCCCCGCTATGAGCCATAACCCACCACTAAAAACCACTGCCACAGAGAACTCTCGAGATGTAGGTCCTATCATACTAGAAGCAACCCCCAAACCAACCTGCCATGCTAACAATTGACTCCCAGGAGCTTCGATCACTTCGCGCGCCATCTACACACCAACACCGTGGGGCCCATCATCACAGCCCAGAAGCTTCTTCAGCAGACTGAAATTGCGATTGGAACAATCGCGTTCATGTCGAGCGATTCCGGGTCTACGCAGCGCTTTCTCTCCTTCGAAGATGGGTAAGATAAGCCAACCTGCACCTGGTCGGGCTCGCGCGCTAATCCGGGTGGGATTCCTAGATTTGCGGCGTATGGTGCATCCAAGGCGGCTCTCAACCAGGCCTTGCGCGTATGTCTCTATCAATATTTCTTGTTTATTAAGGTGAACAGAGCAAGCGATAGGCTGACCGTCAACTCACGTAGCATATGGCCGAGGAGCTGAAGCGCAAGGGCAGAGACACTGTGATTTTGGCACTGCATCCCGGGGAGGTCGCCACGTGAGTATCTTTCTTGCCGCAATACCGGGTTAATAAAAACGTGCCTAGCTAATCATCGGAATACCTACCTGCTACCATAGCGATATGGCGAACATCGAAATCGCCTGGGAGATAGATGGTGGACAGATCAGTGCCGAGGAGTCCGTTCGTGGCATGCTGGCAGTCATCCAGGAAAAGACTATGGAGCGTACGGGGACGTTTTGGACTTGGGAGAATATGGTAAGTTTTGGGGGTTTGGTTTGTTGTTTTGCTTGCTTGCCTGTATTTGCTGATGCGGGGGATAGGAGTATCCGTGGTGACAGCTTGTATAATAGGTTGGGACATGTTACGGAGTCGTGCGATGTTTCGCAATACAAAATTATTCACAACACACAGTATAACCATATTCATTTGTTCGACTTGAGCAAGGTAAAAGATATCGAATACAAAAACTATGGACGCTTCGAGCGAACAAACAAAGTGCCTTGTTACTGCATAGCTATGGGCCAGCATAGCAAGAAAAGACTGACCAACCCGTGCTTCTGAAACCCTCGGCAGCAGAGTCCAACATCGACGTCCATATGGCCGTGTCCGGCGCTAACAAATGCACTATGCTTCCTGTCGACCTGTTGATCTCCCAAATACCACCCGGACTTCTCGGTCTTGCGGTCGATTATGCTAGCTCTACCCAAAACAGTCCAGCAGCTGTAGAATAGTCAGCATGGCGCGACGTCCATGTGATTCTTACAGAACTCCCGGACCCGAACGTTGTATCTCTTAGACGCCCGCCCTAATAATAGTACAGCAATTATGCTTGAGTCTCATCCGTCAATCTAGCTGCAGGGGAACTCAAGAATAACACAAAGTTTATTGACTCCTGGTTCGGTGAAATGTTTCTGGAGGAGGTTGGGCCCTGGGGTAGGACCCTACCGGAGGGAGCACTCATGGCTTGAGCGTGTTTGATAAATGGTCCAGTTGTTGACCCGCTGGTGGTCAGTCAGTTATGCTGCTGAAATTGACCGGTGCTGGCAAATGTTTGTGTCTGGGTTGTTACACTGTAGGTAGTACGCAAACTCTAGGGACAGACCCGAGGAAATGACGCGCCCGTGTTACCCCGTTGACCAGAGATTAAATTAAAGCGTCAATTTAAGTTTGCTCGAGCTACTGCCTGATCTTCAGTATCTGATTCCTGGCTGGCTGACTGGCGAGCGGCGAGTCACGTATATTATGGCGAGGGGATGGCGCCAACCGGCTCAATTCGCGAGAAGAGCATATTACATCCATCGATGGCAACCGGAGTAACACTACAATCTCACCGTCTCAAAATTCATAATCGAGACGCTTGTCAAAGTCTAATAAAGGATGTAAGATGTCTGTTCTTCACACTAACCCCGAATGGCAACCCTGTAAGCGCCGGGGGTTATTATTAGATCTGGAAACCAACCGGGGAATTTCCACAGCGAATGACCGTACACCATGACCTTCTCCACCTCGATCCCAGCAGAGCTTCGAGATCGATGGTAATCGCCAACCAGATTGCTCGTCATTGTCTGCAGACCAGCTCATGTTTCGCGTGGCCGTCAACCCTAGCTCCGGAAGGATTCCAGCGCATACCGACCTGCCAATGACTGAGCGCAATGCGGCGAGTTCGCTGCGGGCGGCTAGTCTCTGGTGCATCCTGACTCGATTCTGTTTATAGATACTGCAGTTTGGGTTTCGGGTAGAGAGTGAAGAATGTCGCCGGGCTCGAGTAGGCGACTTGGTAATTTGGGGGCTGGTATATATTATCTGTGCTCTGCGCAGACAACCTGGTCGCGGATTCACCATTGCGCTTTGTTTTCAACTGCATACATACTACTCAGCTGGCTCCGAGTGGTTTGGACGTCTTTTCCTTTGTTCTGACTCTCTTTTACTTATTGCACTCACCTCATCCAACGTGAAAATACCCCGCGAAGGACTCCGTATTTCAGAACACTACCCGTTATATCCGCGTAGATCGTGGATCGACTCAGCATCCAGGATGCGTCCTATCTTATACCTCACTTCGTGCCTGGTGGCAACCTCCCTGGCAGCGCCGACCTTTTTCGACAATGTATACAACTACTCCGACAAGATGGCCGAGTTCTTCGGAAAAGTGAGCCAACACATCCACGGAGATGTCAAAGACCTTCTCCACAAAGCAACCACATGTGATCCATCGAGCATCGCCTTGCCATCGCACGCGTCAGGACTACCTCCTCCTGACGACCAAAAGCCAGCCTACGTCGCTGTAGGCCGTGGTACACAGGTGAGACACACACGCTCCCCTACCCATTCACCCCCAACATACACACTGATTAACAACAAACAAATAGAACTATACCTGTGCCGACTCCACCTCCAACTCCAAGCCCGAAGCAGTCGGCGCCGTTGCCCGCCTCTACAACGCCACCTGCATCGCAGCCAACTACCCAGACGTGATCCACACGCTGCCCGGTCTGGCCTACAAGCTGACATTGCCCCCGGGCGACGCCGACCCGCTTCCCCCCGCGAACATCGACCTTCTGGGCCACCACTTCTTCGAGAGCAAGGTCCCTATCTTCGATCTGGACACTACAGTCTCCCGAAAGTTTGGCGTCGCACGGACGAAGAAGGTTAGTGAGATCGCTGCGCCGTCGGACGCGATCCAGGGAGAGAACGGAGCGGTTGCGTGGCTGTACCTCGAGACGGTTGATGGCACGGTCGGGAATTACTCGGGCGTCTATCGCGTGGACACTGTTGGCGGGTCGGCTCCCAAGACTTGTGAAGGGATGCAGTCCTCGTTCACTGTGCAGTATGCGGCGAACTACTATATCTATAAGACTTGATGGGTTTCTCTTGTTCTGATTCTTGGCTGGGATGGCTGTCTTTCATTCTTTTCTTTCGTTTTGCATAGTATCGGTGTTATCGGGATGTTATTGGGATGTTATTTCGAAGCATTGCACAATACGAGCCATATAGGATAGTGACTTCACCATGTAGATACCGTCCAGTACTCTTCACGCCGTAGAAATACCTCTCGTAGATCGACATCCTGCGCTCCCATTGGACGAGGGCTTGCCGGTATCAGGTGACCTCGCTATGGGCGGCCACCCACGTGACTGGCCGGAAGTGCCCACAGGCCCGATCCCCAAAGCGGCCTAGCGCGGTCTTGATTTTCAGAGATTCCAAAGGCTCTGCTTGAAAATTCTCGACCGCCAAAAAAAAAAAAAGAGAGAAAAAGTCCCCGACAAGCAGCACGGCCTCGACCTCGAAGCATCGCCAACGAGTCCTTCTCTCTCTTCTTTCCCTCTAGTCCTTTTTGTTCCAGTCTCCCGTGAGATTGGCGATTTCGACAGGGTCCCATCTTTTCGACTCCGACTCTTTTCATCCTTCGAACCTCCTGTGTGGTTCTGAGCATCCCCAGTCCTA